CTCTCCCGTGGTTGCTTCGCATGCGCTCTCTGGATCGACTCTCTCTGCCGCTCCTATTCGCCACAGTCGGCTCCTCTTATCTTCTCCGCCTCTTATTCTTCAATTCCGCAGCCGCCTATCTTTTTTATCCCCTCACTCGAACGGTATGTCCTTCGTCTTCCCTTTTCCTTCGTCTTCGTCTTCTTCTTCCACTCTTCCCCTTCTTCTTTTTCCTCCTCTTCTTCAACTTTCATCTCTGTTATTCATTTGAAATTTCATATTTTGTTTCATTGATTTTCTTGTCCTATATAGGACTAAAAGTTATAAACTTATACAACCCAAGGAAAACTCCCGAAACAGGAATAAAAAAGTTTGAAAATTCCAAAACAGGACCGTCATTTTTTTATTCTTAAAATACGAATAATTATTGCCATGTTTAAAAAATATTGTCATGTATAAAGTCTAGTACTGAAAAAAACATGATTAACCTATACACATGATAGTACTATTTTGAAATATGCAAACATCTATAATTCTATTTAGGATAATTTACCTAGAACCTGTGTATGTCACTCCGTACTATAAAGAACCTCGTTAAACTTGCAAATCAATTGGCTGATTTTTATTCAAATTATTATTCAAATTGTGAGCTCATTTCGTAACACCGAAATCGGCCGATCCTGCTGAAATTTATGAAGTTCTGGCTTAACTGGCTGTATTGGCTGATTCTGCTGATTAATAAAAATTAAAAATTAAATTAAAAAAATATTTTATCAATCAAATAAAGAATAAATTATATGTAAAGAATAGCTAAAATGGGTCAGTAACTTCAACCGAAACAGCCAGAAAAGTAACTTCAACCTTACTTTTTCTTATTATTACAGATTTCAACTCGAAAAATCAAAAGTTACGTGTTTAGTGAGAAATTAGCTGATAAGCTGAATAACAATGTTACCAAACAGGCTCTGTATTAGTTAGTTTTATTCGTTTTCTTTCTCTTTGGTCACTCCATCGTTCCCAGAGTCCACAGACCTGTCTCTGTAACTCCCCCTTCTAATCTTCTTCTAATTTTTTAAGTTTTTATTTTTTTTCTTCTTCTTTCATTGCAGTACCTTTTTATTTCAACACATTCATTTTTGTAAACCCTAAGAAAAATGTTTTCCAAGCCAACTTTCCCTAAGGATCACATCACCATTCCCAATTGCTTTTCCCCTGGTCATTGAACAGAGAGAGCGACATCCACCATGACCTCTTCTTGCCTGTTCGTCTCCATTCCATTCTAGAAACAGCTCTCATCATTTATTGCAGCTAGCATCATCCTCTAGCTCCCTACCCATCCACCCCAGTCCCCAACCCGAAAAAAGAAGCGGCCATGAATTCCCTATCTCCAGTCTTCTATCCAAGGATACGCGATCGGCGTCACAAGAGAAGTAAGAGTAGAGCTACAAATCGCCTGTGCCTCCGTCTCTTTGATTTAAAATAGCCAGGCCAGACGATAATATGTATACCGATATACTCCGTATATTACCCACACACATGTGTATATAGACACAGAGTCAAAGAGAGATTAAAGATGAAAGAATAAAATTGTTTTTGTTCTCGTAGGTTTTTGTAGCTAGAAGACGGTGATCGAGAATAGGATGAGAACGAGACAGCCGGAATGAAAAAAAGAGAACAAAAAAAAGAATAGAAAAAGTCAAAGTTTTCAAGTTTAACCGGCTAAAAATGTCCATTTACGGTGACTTTGATCACAATGATCCTTTTTATATAGTAGATGTGTTCAAGTGATGTTTTTATTGATAGATGGGTTAATGTGATGTATTCATTATAGTACATGGGCTTATATGCCCCTTTTTCCTTAGTTCTTCTGTTAATCTTATTTCTTTATTAATGTTGTGGTGTTGATAAGTGACGATTAGTTAACGCTTCGACATTAATTATTACTAGAAACGATCAACGAACCGATGGTTAATCATTGATGTTATCACAAGTAAGTAACTTCGGTTTATTAATGTACGGTCGTGGTTAATAAACTTAATAGGGATTAATTTTGTTGGTTAAACTGAAACCGTTGTGTTGAGGTTATCAATCTCAATTGATTTCATCGAGAATTTAAAAAGATTAAATGCTACTATTAAATCGGTATACGATATTGTTCTATATTTGATTAATAGTAAGGGTTGTTAATGAACGGTCGTTGTTAATAACTACCCTCGATGAATTGGAGATACTTCTCGATTAAGTATTCGAGAGGGGATAAATTATAGATATTACAATAATTGACTAAATATATCAACAAGTGGAAAGTAGCAAATCCAAATTCTTTTTATCTTTGAATTAAATCACATATAAGTTGTTCATCTTGATGTTTAATTAAATTAAATCATTCAATCCCAAAATCCCCCTTTTATTTACTAGTTTCATAAAAGAGAATTATACATTTCCCTGTGGATACGAACTCTACTTCACTATACTACGTATTAGTGTTAGTATCGAATTTACTTTGATGCACTGCGACAAATTGCTTGTTACTTCTCTGCCGGTGCACCTGTTTTCCATATCCATAAGTTTGTCTCTGTTTTCTTGCTTTGATTTTTCAGTGTGCGCCTTTCTGTATCACGGTCCTTTTCATCTTGGTTTGTGCGGTGGGGGATAGAGGTTGGTTTTTCCTTTTCTTAATCCATCTTTCTAATCTCATGAACTTTCTCAGCCACTCAACCTCAACAAACAAAGGTTAGGAAAACCCGTGATAAAACTGGAAAATAAATTCAACCATCACTAAATCTGTAGATCGATAAGAGAAATTAATTAAGAGATTAGAGGGAAAATATAGAGAGGATGAAGAGAGAAAGAAAGAGATCCGGGACACAAGAGAGCGAGCACAGATGGATTCAAGCATAGAATCATGCCAGAAATACCTACTTGTGCTCTCTCTCTTCGGTCACCTCCATATTACCCATTTCGGTCCGGAAGGAATTCTTTAATTAAATCTTGTACTCCCTTTGTTTCTATTTGTTTGACACACTTTCTTTTTTGGACGTTTCAAAATGAATGTCACACTTCTTTATTTCCTTATTTGGTAAACAAATCTTTACCTAAACAGTACAAAACAGTGCCAAACAGTGCTCAAATAGTATCAAACAGTGTACTCTACAGTAAAATTTACCCCTCAATAACTTTTTCCCCTTAAATCTTGACAAGTCAAACTGTGTCAAACAAATAGAAACGGAGGGAGTATCATTCTTCAAGGAAACATGAAGATGAATAACCATAGCATAAAAGAAAATTTTATGTAAGCCTAGCCCTAAAGGCGGGTGGTATTTATTGCTACATTCGGGAAAATGAGTGATCGAAACAGTTCATACAATTAAGATGATGCATCAGGGTTTCACTAGCGGAATAAGTTGGTAGGTTATCAAAATATGTTTAGTAATTTAGGTGTTTGATCATAAAAGTTAATAGGAAACGTCATATTTCAAAACACTAGCTCCAAAACTCTTCTATTTGAAGCATTATATTGAGCGGAGCCGTCCAAAAACGATAGAGCCGAATAACTATTTATAAAATAGGGTTTTCATTTATTGAATATGCTAAAATGGAGGAGTCAAATCGTCACTTTTTTGCTAAAACGATATTTTCTAAACACCCCAAAGAATAAACACTCCCAAATAATAAAGGCATTTCAGATTAAAAATGGTAGAATTTCCGTAACTTATTTAAATACAAATGACTCATATATTTCTAAATAAAGTCTCGTTTGTTTAAACGTTTTTTAGTTTCAAATTTTAAAAACGTGTACGAATCTGTTTTGCAAACAACTTTTTTCTACATGGCTATGATAGTATAATAGCATAAAATCCCTTCCCATTCATCTTCTCAAAGGACACGCTAACAGAAATTCTCGCAGCCGGCTTTCCCAAAAGGGAATGGGTAAAGATTTTTTGATACGATATAGACAAAATTCTATTCATTCTTCTTAATACACGTAGCAACGTAGGATTTCCACCAAGTAAAAGCATAAATTGTTAAGAACACTGACAATAATGCAATAAATTTTAAAAGTAAAGAAGGTAAATGGGAAATATACAGAAAAAGTGATATGGAAAATCAAACTATTAAGTTAAATAACTTTTTATACAATTATACAACGTATTTATCTAATTTCAATAGCGATAAAAATATACTTCGTATTAAACTTTCATTATATATATAAATAGGACTAAACATTAATTTTTACCCTAAATACCCCTAAGGGTATTAATTCATAATGAAATTTTTTAATTCATAATAAAATCTTAAAAAATATTAAAAATCGCAAAAAATATTAAAAAATCGTAAAAATATAATAACAAATTAATAAAATATTATAAAACAAAAAAACAAATATTTTTCTTGATTTTTTGTAAATTAATAAAAAAAATAGTAAAAAACCTTAAAAATATGGATACCTTTTCCACCGCCTCCCAGCACCACCACCTCCGATTGGTGAAAGATCTTCCATTTTTTGTAAAAAATGCCATTTTTCCTCGAAAATGTCAAGAAAATGGCATTACTAAGAATGTTGGCATATCTATAACCGGTGACAGAGCTAGTGGTGCAGGGGCTGCTAGAGGTGGCAGCGTTTTTTTATGTTTTTAATTTTTTTAATTTTTTTTAAAATTTAGTTTTTTTTATTTTTATAAAAATTTTATAATTTTTTTGTTATTTTCTAAGTTTTTTACTATTTTTATGTTTTAATTATTTGTGTATGATTTTGTTATTAATTAAGACATTTTAAAAACTACAAGAGTATATTTGTCGAAACACACATAAATAGTCCTAACGAAAGAAATTTAAAAGATTTGGTCCTATTTGTGCTCTTGGGCCACTTTTTTCCTATTTAAGTAATTCACTCAATAGGTAAAGCAGGTATTAAACATAATTAGTACTCTCCCCATCCCGAAAAAAATCATCAAATTAACATTTTTTGTCAATCAAAAAAATATTGACCAATAATATTTTCAATCTCATGAACCTTTTTAGCCACTAAACCTCAACAAAAAGGGTGAGAGAAAAACATGAAAACACTGGACAATAAAATTAACTATCACTAAATGTCAATGACTATCGTTACAATGTCATTGTCAATCACTACGTGAAATAAAAATAATAGAGAAAGTAAATATGAAATATGTGACAATATTAATATAAATTATTTACGTTGTTATCATTAATAGCATGATATTGTTTATTTTTCACACTCTCAATGTTAAAATTACGGACAATGTTATGACAATGTGAATAATAATCTTATGAAAATGACATTATAATAACGTCAGACAATATTGGATCATCATAAATAACTCCTCCTATGCCAATGGCTTCAGACGCTTCTCGAACAAGGGGTTCACACTTCACAGCCTTCTTCTGCTTCTATTTTACACCTTTCCAACCTTCTTCTATTTTACACCTTTCTTTGGAGCAATTATAGTGATGAGTAGGGTTTGCAGTAGGGGAATCATCACGATCTGTTCAACCAATAAAACTCTAGAGTCTGCTGCCACTAACCTCTTGAAATAAAATAGAAAAGAAGAAATAATAATTTTAGAAATATGAGAAAAAATTAAACATCACAAAATCTTAGGATTTATTTGCAACAACTTCTGCTTTAAAAAAAAGTTCATTTTTAATGAAATGAAGAGAAGTGATTATATAAAAGTTGAAATTGTTTGAGAAAAAAGTGATTTTGAAAAGTAAAAGTTGGTAGTGTGGTAAAATAAATGCTTTTTGTGTAATAGAAAAAGTAAAAGCACTTTTGACACAAAATTAAGCCGAGAAAAATAAAATGTGGTAGTGTTTGGTGAAATAAATGTTTTTTTAAACAAAAAGCTGAGAAATGCTTTTTTTAAAGCATTTGCAAACCAACCCTTAAACAGTCACAAGGTACAACTCTAAAAATAAAATTACAAAAAGAAGAAGAAACGAGTAATAGCAGAATAGAAGATTAGCATAAATGGATATTCGTATGTAACGTACCTCAAGAAAGACACGGCTCGGATGGGGAGATTCCCGGCCGAAGATCGAAGACAAAGCCAGTTACGGTTAGACTATAGAGGCTAAGCCGTAAATGGAGGGGATAAATTAATAAAGGTATACAAGTCTAAGCATGTAAAAAACGTCCTATTTAAGTACCCTGGTCAATTTTAGTCCTATAGGCAACCATTTCTCTTCTTCGTATCCACAACAACAAACAAATGATTTAATTAGAGGAAGAAGTTCCGAAAGTCTGATTCTTATTTAGGCCACAAATTGGACAATTGAATTCTGTTAAGATCCGGGGTTCCATCCTAAAAGGTCAACCTGTTAGGAGGAGTAGCCCGAAACTTAATATAGCACTCTAATGCTTCTCAATTTTCCGGTGTGGGACATTTAACACCCCTCCTCACGACCAGACACTTCATCTGGATCGTGTCGTCATCCATTTTTTCACCGGTTCGTCAATTGTTTTTATATCGTGTCGTCATTTTTCATAAGGGGCCCCATACCATGGATTGATTTGACTCTGATACCATTTTAAGACCCGGGGTTCCATCCTAAAAGGTAAACCTGTTAGGAGGAGTAGCCTGAAACTTAATATAGCACTCTAATGCTTCTCAATTGTTAAATGTCCCACACCGGAAACATTTGGATGAACATAGTGCTATATTAACAGACGGGCCACTCCTCCTATCAGGTTGACCTTTTAGGATAAAACCCCGGGTCTTAATATGGTATCAAAGCCAATTCCGGTTGTGGTTTGACGGCTTATTTAGCACCCATGATTAAGGGTAGCTTGTTAGGGGTTTGTTTGGTCCGATTATACACCCCGATATTGTCCAGCCCGGTTCGGGCTGGGGGGGAGTGTTGAAGCATTTGTCCCACACCAGAAAGCTATAAAACCATTAAATACTATAAGGCTTTGGATTACTCCTCCTATCAGGTTGACCTTTTAGGATGGAACCCCGTGTTTTAACATGGTATCAGAGTCAAATCGATCCATGGTGTGGGCCCCTTAAGAAAAATGATGACACGATTATAAAAACGGCCGGATAAAAAAAACAGACCTATGAAAAAAAATGAATGATTGCATGATCCAGACGAAGTGTCTGGTCGTGAGGAGGGGTGTTAAATGTCCCACACCGGAAGCATTTGGATGAACAAAGTGCTATATTAACACACGGGTTACTCCTCCTATCAGGTTGACCTTTTAGGATGAAAACCCGGGTCTTAACAAATTCATTTTCACACCGATTATTGAATGCCCTAATTGCATAAACCATTTCGACCAGTGATCTTCATCAAAGAATGGTTTGGAAAAACATAAGTAAACTACAAATAGTAACACTCTTCAGCAATAAAGATGGAGATACAAGAAATATAGAGATCAGACTAACAAATTAGCTACTGAAATATACTCATATTATTCTGTTCCCATAAAACTTGGGAGCATTGATTTGTTTGGTCAATATTGATCAAATTTGATAAATCGTACGAGTAATTTTTAATAAGAAATTATTTAAAATAAAAATATGTATATAAATTACTTTTTGTTAAAATACATTCATAGACATATAAAAATTTAAAATTCGCAAAAATATAACACCTACAATCATTACAATATACTTATTATAATTGCAGTGACATGTATAGTTCATAAATTTACAAGAATAATCACACTTTGTTTTTTCTCTGATCTTCTCATAGTAATTCCACCTTTACGTAATTTCAGAATAATTCCGCCTTTGCACCCCATCTTTTTTCGTTGGACTCTGTCCTGTTGATGAACTACTATACCAGGTTTTTTACCCTTTCGTTGAAAACCTTATATAAATAATCTCACCTTTCACAAATCTGCTCAAAGCGATCCCATGTTTCATTTTTTTCTTTTTTCTCCCTAAATTTTTTTCTTTATTTTCATCCCAACACACTTTTATTCCTTTTTGTATCCTTTTGTTCTTATTTTTTTTCTATTTTTATTATTCTATTTCTTACTCTATTAGGAGATTTTTTTGGAAAATTTCTCTTTCAAAATATCTCTTTTTTGTCATTTTCTTTTACTTTCCATATTTTATTTCGTTTTCCATTTTGTGTTTTGGGTATAAAAAAAACTGGTATAGTAGAGCATCAACAGTCAGGGTCCAATGAAAGAAGATGAGGTATTGAGGTGCAAATGTGAGATTATTCTGAAATTATGTAAACATAAGATTATTATGAGAAGATGTGAAAATTGAGATTATTCTTCTCAATTTTTCCTCAATTCTATTGATAATTAAAAATATCATCTATTGACAACGGTCCTCTCACTAATTTTGCTTTTGCAATTAGTTTGGCTTTGCCGTTGCTCTAGCTTCGATGAAAGTTTTGGATTCGAAACAGTACGCTACCTTCGAGAGAAAGGTGCTTTATCTTGGCCCGCCAGATACTTTCAAGACTAGCCATTTTTCTTTGCATTTGTTTTTCTTTTTTCCTTAATTTTGAGTGTGTGTCTTGTTCTTACTTCTGTTTGGTTTAGATTTTTGTTACTCTGGAATGTGAGGTGTATTTATTAATTTGGTGATTAGCAAGAGACAGGAATTTACTATAGGAACTTGCAGGAATTTACTACGTTGAACAACAAGACGTCAATTTATTAGTCACTATAGGCTTCAATTTGGTTGTTTGACATTAGCGAGTCACTTGGGCGCCGTTTTTAGAGCCCCTAAATTTATGGGGCACCAAATTTTTAAATTTCTTTCAGTATTATATATAGTATAAAGTAATATTCCGTATTATACATAGTATATTAATACCACTCAGTAAAATACAGTAAGTAGAAGAAAAAATATAGATTCATCATTTTCTTGTTAATTCTTTTACTATTTTAATTCTCTTTAATGAGTATTCAATTGATTTTATTATTAGATTGATATTTTTTTAAATTTTTTATATTAATTTGGGGCCTCAATTTTAATTTTAGAACCGGGGCATGATTACACGGCTCTGGCGCCGAGTCGAGTCATTGCACTTGATTAAGAGCAATTGACTATATATGTAGTTCTAGGGCAGTAAGGCTCGTGAATGGATTGATTATGTTGTTGTTGTGCACATGTGCCAGTTTGTGGGAGATTAATTTAAGCCTTTTCCAATAAAAAGAATGTACTATCATAATACGGAGTACAAAATTAACTATCACTAACCAAAACAAGTTTATTTTGATCAAATTTATTTTATGAAGATGAGTGAGAACAGACTTACAATAAAACACATGTACAAGAGAACTGCACCCTTATTAACCCCTTTGAATATATCCGTATCATTCATGACTTCTCTTGCATGAATTTTCCAGAACCAAAAAAATATGGAGGGGGCAAATGACAAACTTAAATGTCCAATCAATTAATAGACTTGTATCTTTAAGTTATGAGACGTCTACCATTGAACTATATCAGCAAATCTGTGCGCCAAATATTGATTCGGCCATAAATTATGAACAAGCTTATCCTCCGACCGGTCTTTTTGTCGATCGACAAAATCAAAGCATAGGAAAAAAACCGCATGTAATTAATGGCCACCTTATATATTTTAGCCTTGATCCATCTTTTCAATCTCAACAAACAAGGGTTAGGAAAACAAAACTGGAAATAAAATCAATCATCACTAAATCTAGAGAAATTAATTCAGCAATTAGAAAAAAATATAGGGATCGGAGGATGAAGAGAGAAAGTAAGAGAGTGGGGCGACCGAAGAGAGCGAGCACACATGGATTCAAGCATAGAAATCATGCCGGAAATACCCAATTGTGCTCTCTCTCTTCTGTCACCTCCATATTACCCATTTCGATCTGAAAGTGAACTCTTGAAATATTGAATCATTCTTCAAGGAAATAAAGAGACGAAAAGCCACTGCATAAGAAGAAAACTTCATGTAATTAAGATTAGCCCTAAAAGCGGGTGGTATTTATTGCTACATTTGGGAAAGGGGAAGGTTTGTAGTGGTTTTGATTTGATGTGGGAGGGAATGAAGAACTGGGTTGGCCTTTATATAGGGGAAAAGAAAGAAGAAGAATAAGAGCAAGAATCGTCTTTTTGGAGTAAATTTCACTAGTGTCCCTACCATACCCTAATATCCTTTCCCTGTTCAAAGCCCCTTTCGGTCCAGCCGGAACGGCTGATAGCACCACCTCGTTTGGACGGTTTCATTTGGTACGTACACACGGCACGAAGTCCATCTATGGAATTTATACTATATATATATACTCGTATTCTAAATTCCTTCGTTTTAAGGTTTGGTAAGCTCTCAAATACATCCTATTCTTTACAAGATTCTTTAATTTTACATTATTTAGATCAACTTTGAGTATATTTTATTCGTTAATATATTAAAATTTTAATACAAATTGTTGATACAAATTGTTAAATTCCTCTAATTTTAATATTTTAAATATGAATTTTTTATTTCAACTAATACTGAAATTTATCAATGATTAAAGTTGTGTGATTGTCAATGTAGATAATGAAACAGAAATTGCCCTAAATGGGAGTAAAAACGTTTTGAAATTCCAAAATATAAGTATCATATTTTTTATTCCCTGAATAGAAGTAATATGCCAAGTTTGGAAAAGAATGTCATGTTTAAAGCCTTGTAATGCCCAAACTTGGCAGAAATTTACTCCTATTTAGGGAATATAAAAAAATGATACTCCTATTTTGGAATTTCAAAACGTTTTTACTCCTATTTAGGGAATTCTATCAAAATGAAAAGGTTGAAACTAAAAAGGAATTATAGGATTTGATATCTTAGTTTGGTAATTTGTTATTCAGATCCTAAATAGTGATGCTTTTTAAGATGTTGTAGGCAAGTAGCTAGGAGCAGGGGGAGGGGGCATAGAATCAATTTTAAATAGAAGTTTGGTGGGCATGCTTTCATAAAAATCTCTAAAAGCTTCTAGTTTTATGTTTGGCATGACAATTTTTTAGACCTTTTTAAAAATTAAAAAATCTTTTTTGAAATGCTACAGAGAGTAGCATCTGAAAAAAGTTTGTGACTTTTAGTATTAATTAGTCCTAACAGTTTGTATAACAAACCGAACTAAATCAAACAGTCAACTTTTTACTAAACTGCTACCACATTTGCTTTATAAGATCTTTTCAATCACTAAAAGATAATAGTTATTAAAAAGCTCATAAAAGTATCTTTTTAGCTAGTTGTTCCAAACAAGTGAATAACTAAAGATTAAAGGTTCCTATGCTTATCATACTTAGTCATGGACCCGGTTCAGGCCGCCCGGCCCACTACTGTGCGGGCCCGGAACCGGCCCAGTTATCGGGTCCGGTTCCGGGTCGGGCCTAGGCCCGGTGGGGGGGCGGGTCCGGGCTCGGGCCTTGTATTTGGCGAACCGGCCCGGCCAGGTCGGGCCCGGGTCCAGGTCGAATTAATTTTTTTTTTATTTTTTTTTTCATTTTTGGGGTTACCCGGGTTGGGTTTGATGGTTAGGAGGGTTTTGGGGGGTGAGGGGGTGTTAGGTAAGCAAAAACAATTGACCAAACCGGAGACCTGGCCCGGCCCGGACCCGGTGGCTACCCAGGCCCGGCCCGGCCCAGCCCGGACCCGATGGCTACCCGGGCCCGGCCCGGGTCCATGACTAATCATACTGTATCGAACATTCCATTTTGGGAAAGTCGGCTGCGAGAATTTCTTTTAGCGCGTTCTTGTGGAAGATGAATGCCAAGGGTTTTTATGCTTATTATACATGTAGATGTAGAAAACAGTTATTTGCTCAATAGATTCGTATTCAAGAAAAATATGTACACACAAATTAAATGAATTTTATTTAGTTATTTTATATCTGGGTGGTAGACACAAAATATATTTCGTTTCCTGAGACATAAGTCATATTAATATACTCCTATTGTGTTTGTATTGAGAAGATTCCTGCGTGAGGAAAAATATTGTTATACATACGGAGTATATTTGTTGTGCAAATTACTTGTCTGATCTATTTGTATCGATGGTTACAAATCTGCATGATTTTATATTTATACATTTGAAGCTCTTTTTCTAATGTAAAAATAATTAAAATATCTCAAATTTTGAGAGAGTTTGAGATAAACACCCGAACTTGCATATGTTATTTAAATATCCCAAATTTTATATAAAAAGTTATTTTAGCACCCTGAGCATATATTATTTCTTTCACAAATCTAAATTTATGATGTTAAGTGTATAATTTAAGATAGCAAATTATAAATGCTGCAATTATACAGAGTGGGAGTAGTATTATTTATTTTACGATGGAAATTTAGAATATTAATTGTATCTTCATGAATGCTAAATTAAAATATTTTAAATTATGAAATTAACACAAAAATTACCATTTTTAAAAGAAATACGAAGTAATACATGACCATGGTGCTAAAATGAATTTTTATATAAAGTTTGGAGAATTTTAATTATTTTCCCCATTTTGAAAAGTGATTATTTATATATATTTGGATAAAAATGTGACTAAAAAGGTAACATATTTGAAAAACATGATGTTAACTTCAGATTTTTTATGTCAGTGACCGATGTCACTGTCACACTTTTATGTCACTAACGAATGTCATTGTTGCCATGAAACTTGTCATTGTCACAGAGGGAAAATTTCCGAAAATTTTTTCTAACGAATGTTGAAGAAGAAAATCATCAAATTAAATTTTCTGTAACTATTTCGGCTTCAAAATTTTGGACAAACTTTTCTGTGTTTGATAGAGAGTAATAGTGTTTTAACTTGTATTGAATTCTGATCTAGTCTTGTCTGATCTGATCTGGTCTAATATGAACTAGTCTAGTAGTTATCAAGTCTAATTAATTTGGTTTGATTTATTTAAGTATGATCTAATCTATTTAGGTCTAATCCATTCTAATCTAGTTTGGGACTGAAATCAATCTAAGTAAAAAAAAAACTCCAAAAGAACTTTCGAGTTATATGAGTCCCAAAAAGAAGTATAATCTGATGGTGATTCTGTTGTAAAGTTCACCATTATGCCACTACTATAGGCAGTGTACTTAAAAACATGAATTTGCCGCCTTTCATGAAATCCTGAATTGGAATGACAATAGTAAGAGTTTTTCCCTTATATATATTACTAAAGTAAAGCCAATTTCCAAAAATGTGACCTTCTTTACAAAATGACAATACATGACAAAGAATGTCATATATTTGAAAAAAGTTATGTCACTGTCGAATTTCATGTCACTGTCAGATGTCACTACTGTCATCGCCAATGTCACTGTCGTCATCACCCGTGTACCAAAGTGATGACAAACGGAAGTAGTCACTACTGCCACTTTCAATGTCACTGTGATCGCCAGAAAATTTTCCGCGTGCTTCTCTTGACAAAAACAGTAACTTTTTTCCGCAGAACAATGACTTTCCATCCCCATCCCCAAGCCCTGGCACCCCATCCGTGTGTGCCCTTGTCATGTTGAGCCCCTGATCTGCCACGAGCCACGCTCCATAGCCCATATCCTGCCTCCAACCACGCTCCCCAGCTTCAGCCCCGACCCAACCAGGCAACCATGCCACCATCCCCCCTCTCCTGCTAAAACCTTACCCTTTCTGTTAGCTTAGCCGCCAACTGTTAACCCGGCCCACCATTTTCCCCAGATCTGATCACTTGTTGATCTCCATCTGGCGAGGTTGGCGGAGAGGCGGCGAGGCGAGGGGAGACGAGTCGAGGTGCGATGAAGCGGGACAAAGAGGCGGCTAGGCGCGAGGAGTAAAGGCATGGCGAGTCAAGGCGTGGCATGGCGATGCATGGCGAGTCAAGGCACAACGAGTCGTGGTGGAGAGGCGTGACGACTAGAGGTGCGGGGAGGCGCGGCGATGAGGCGCGATGAGGCAGGGCGGCGGGTTGGAGCAACAATGGCAATAGAGAGCTCGATCAATGAATGGGAGAAGAGAGAAGGTGCAGAGTTGGGGTGGATTGAGGGATTGAGTGAGAGAGAAGGTCACTTTTCTGTTCGGCTTTAAAAGCGTCATATTTTTGTCCATCTAAATTCCTAATTAATATTTTTGACATTCTTTCAATAGTAATTGTCCTATATAGGACTAAAAGTAAACTGAAATGCACAAATGGGATCACATTTTTTTATTTCCTAAATAGGACTCCGGATTACCATTATACCCTCTTATATAATAAAATGAAAACCCTAAAAATTAATCGCAAGACTTCTCATCGGCTCTCCCGTGGTTGCTTCACATGAGCTCTCTGGATCGGCTCTCTCTGCCGCTCCTATTCGCCACAGCCGGCTCCTCTTCTCTTCTCCGCCTCTTATTCTTCCGTCGCCTATCTTTTTCATCCCCTCACTCGAATGGTATGTCCTTCGTCTTCCCTTTTTTTTCGTCGTCTTCTTCTTCAACTCTTCCCCTTCTTCTTTTCCCTCCTCTTCTTCAACTTTCATCTCTGTTATTCATCTGAAATTTCATATTTTGTTTCATTGATTATGTTGTCCTATATAGGACTAAAAGTAAACTTATACAACCCAAGGAAAACTCCCGAAACAAGAATAAAAAAGTTTGAAAATTCCAAAACAGAACCGCCATGTTTTTATTCTTAAAATACGAATAATTATTGCCATGTTTAAAAAATATTGTCATGTATAAAGTCTAGTACTAAAAAAACATGATTTACCTATACACATGATAGTACTATTTTGAAATATATAAACATCTATAGTTCTATTTAGGATAATTTACCTAGAACCTATGTATGTCACTCAATACTATAAAGAACCTGTTAAACTTGCAAATCAATTGGCTTATTTTTATCCAAATTATTATTCAAATTGTGAGCACATTTGGTAACACCGAAATCGGTCGATCCTACTGAAATTTATGAAGTTCTGGCTTAAGTGGTTGTATTGGCTAATTCTGTTGATTAATAAAAAAAATTAAATTTAAAAAATATTTTATCAATAAGATAAAGAATAAATTATATGTAAAAATAGCTAAAATGGTCATCTACAGTAATTTCAACCGAAACAGCCAGAAAAGTAACTTCAACCTTACTTTTTCTTATTATTACAGATTTCAACTCAAAAAATCAAAAGTTATGTGTTTAGTTAGGCTTCGACCCAGTTCGGGCTACCCGGCCCGGTACTATATGGGCCCGGCCCGGCCCGGGAACCGGGTACCAGTACCGGGTCTAGGCTCAGTTTGTAAGGGGTAAGCGGGTCAGGTACGGGCTGAGGTAAATATGAACCGGACCGGCCGGTCCCAGGCCCGGTTCGGGCCTTTTCAATTTTTTTTTTTTTAGTTTTTTTTTGGGGGGGCTTTGGGCTGGGTTTAAATTGGCTGGAATGGGTGTTTGAGATGGGTTTGTGGGATGGGGGGTTGGGGTAGGGATAAAATAATCAAGAAAACAAAAAAAAAAAATAGAACCAGACCCGACCCGGCCCGGGCGCCCCGGACCGGCACCGGTCAACTTCCGAGACAGTCCCGGGCCTCACTGAATTTTTTTTGGCCCGGCCGGGCCTAGGCCCGAACCGGAACCAGACCCGATTGAGTCCATGACTATGTTTAGTGAGAAATTATAGAAAATAAAGCTTACGTATAGTGATTGATGTCAATTTAGTTTGTCTCAATAATAAGAAATATACGAAAAATATAAATGAATATCAACCAAGTCTACTAGTTACTACTACTAGAATGACACTTTGGGGGTGACATGGACATACATTTTTATTTTACCCCCACTATGAAATTGAGACCATGAATGAAAAAGTAAAACTATATGCAACTACCATCATTGTAAAAACATTAATATCTGCTATTTCAAAAATTGTTTAATTCATAACCACCACCTTTTAATCGGTAAAGAAGCTACATGTTAATTGTTAAGCAACGAACGTCAGTCTTCATTAGAATCTGAACTTCCATATTCATAGCATTCATTACTGTTTTCAATTTCTTCATCATTATCGGTGTCTTCTTCTCCATTGTCACCAATAGTGTCAAGTTGAGGCAAAATGTCCAGTCCTTTGCTTCGATAAACTAACCCGGTCCTCATCACATGATGAAATTTGTCCCTATGGCGAGTAAGTGGATGCGGATCTGCCAGTCTACCACGACGGTAACCCTCTCTAAGTGCCACAGTCGTCGTTTTACACTTCATTGAAAGGTAAAAAATCCCAGGGTACCTAGTAAATATTCTGGTGAATCTGTGGGGGAGGTTCATTTCTTCCCTGAGGCTCCTTAGGTAATTTCTCTTTGTTTTCTTGTAAAGGGTCAAGCTCAAGATTTCATGAAGCACGCCAACAACCCGTTTTTCCATTAGATCACTGTCAGGATCTATTCCACTTGAATCTTCATAGGGAGAAATGTAGGGAAGATTCTGAAAATCCTCCATCCAGGCTTTCACCTTCTTCTGTGCACCATAACCCCTGGGGAAACTCATGGGGAATTCCAATGTCGATTTCCCTCTTCGAAATTTCCTGTACAAGGAACTTTCAGAGTTATTGTCAGCTGACTCGACCTTTTCATTCATCTTCTGGAACTCAGAGAATGCAAAGTCTTCTTTCCAGTTGAGAAGTTTTAGACATGGTAAACCATTTGTGCCCCTTACGACGGTGAAATCATCTGGAAATTTTTTTATGAAGTTCCGATCGAAATCATCAGGCAGACCTAAATCCCATTTTAGTCGATGCAGAGATAACACAGGTACCTGTTTGTTATTTAAAATATGTTAATGATAAAAAAAAAGGGTGCAGAATCGGCATAAACAGAAACAGAAAATAAAATGCAAAATATGCGAAGTTCAGATCCCTGTTAGTAGAAACTCTTAATAAATTAACAATAGTTGCCAAAAAAAGCAAAGTATTTTGATTATCATGGTGGAAGCATATGCCTTCACTTGACACCTGAAGCTGAACAGGCACCCTCTAAATTCTCAGTTTTAAGGTTTGCTAGCATCAAGGAAACTACAGTGAAGGGGGATGCTAAGGGGAGGTTCATATATTTGGCTTTTCCTTCAAAAATTGATACTAACACAGACGATTGGAGTAGAAAATATTATTGAAAGCGTAGAAAATAAGAAGGATACAGCCGAGACCAATTCGAGAGGGCCTCGATCTCTCCCAAGATCCCAAATTTTCCCAAATCCCAGTCTAATCCTACTATTTATTCTATTCCCAAAGAGGCTTCAGCTCAAAATAACTAATTATTTGGGCCCAGCTCACTTCCTTATTACAGCTTATTAAAATATTATTTCTATTAATTCCCTTGCCATCTCAGGTCCGTATCAACAATACAAAGGAAAAGTAAATAAGATTGATTTATTATGTTTAAATTTAGATATTTGGACTTGGTGTTTAAGCATATGTATGTATGACATGTTTTTATTACAAACATTTGTTCCCTTCAAATGTTCTTTTCATTTTCCTCTCTATTTCTTGGCATTGTATTTTTCTGGTTCCAAAAAAGCTTCAACTCATCCTTTGCTTCTAAAAATATATTCTGATAGCTATGTATATTTTATGCATCATATGGATCATATTATCTAAACTCAGTCCTGTTTGTTTTTAGTCATAAAGAACCCATATCATTGAAACGTTTTAAAATTTACATGGTAAATTAATCAAATAGATATGGAGAAGCACAACATTAAAAAAGTATACTATCCTTGCAGTTTCAATGAGGAAAATAATCTGACAATGCATCCAACATACGGACTTTACCATTCTATTCCTGGTCATCATGAGGACCCTGGAGAGCCTCTCCATCAAATCACTTTGAACATCATCATACACCTTCATTTCTTGATCATGAAGAACTTTTGCAATGTGGGTAAGCTTAAAGCAAGGCAAAGAAGGATACTTGGGATGTGGGAACTCCTCAAACAGAGTGGGGAACCGGCGGATGAACCGGAGGGTGGGAACAGTGAGACCAAGGAGTTTGTGGGAGTCAACGAGGGAGTTGGAGTTGAGGTATCCGGTAGGTGAGCGTACAATAGCATCCTTGAGAAGGCAAGCAGCTTTAAGATCTGTTTGGACGTCTATGATGTGATCTAAGCCTCGGTTTTTCACCCATTTCAGACGAACTTTTACAATTGTTCTGTAGTGATAGAGAAGGTGGGCATGGGCCTTTTGTTGGGATTTTAGGATCGAGAAGATCTCTTTTGTTGCGGACTTCATTAATATTTAACTAAATCCAGATCCTCTTCCAAGTAGGATGGTGCTCACAGAGTTCAACTTCAGCCAACATGACTTTATAGCACTAAATTCAATTCTTGAAAGTTTCACCGAAATTTAAAAATCTTCACCTTCTAATTAACCTGTCAAAACGAATTCATATGGAACTTCGTACTACTATTCTACAAAATTCATGTGCATTCAGTCTCTAATACAAATGAATCTTTAACTATAAAAACAAATAACAAGTTAGGATGTTTTTACTTGGATTGTAATTTGCTGGTCTGGTCTGGTCTGATCTGGTCTGAACAGGTCTGGTCTGGTAAGGTCTGGTTTCTTTGTATTTTTATAACTATCCAAGTCTGGTCTGGTCTGGTCTGAACTGGTCTGAACTGGTCTGGTCTGGGGCAAATTACAGTCCAAGTAAAAACATCCTTAAACAACTCAACTATTCAAACTTAAAAGCCAGCGTCTACAGAGTTCTCTTGATAACAAGTCACTTTGTCTGCTAATAAAACCTAAATACTTTCTTTACTCTCTGCATCTTTGCCCTAACATACTACGTATTGTTTATTCACCAGACCCCATCACATAAAACACAAAACATATGTAGCAACAATACAGCATATTAGGGACGAAAGTAAGCAGGGGCAAAACTAGCATTTTAATTGAGCATGGGCCAGAAATTAATGCATATAAAATAAATTCAATTGCAACAACATAAAGTACAAAAAGACGTATTACAAATATTTTACAAGAATCCACAACACCATGTGATAAATTATACGTAGTATAATATTAAAAAGACTCACAAGTAAAAATCGTATTTAAAACAAAGGGGTTAATACTTGTATACTATTTTTAAATTTAGTTGAACAACCAATAAATTTTGAACATATACAAGTGCGATTCATGATGACTAATTGTTTGATCTTACTAAGTTACCTCCCAGATTGCTTTGATAATGAGATGTGGTATATTCCAACCAATCATGTTCAGAAAATCTTTAGAAACATTTATGGTTATCCGATTTCTTGGTGAAGTAGAAGAAATTTGAGAATATGCTTAGCAAACATAAATGATACTAATCACCCCTGTTACCAACAAGAATGCTTTTAACGTTTTTTATACTGATCACATTGATATATTAATTCACTGTCTTTGTAATACAAGTTGAAAACATTGCACTGCTAAGGTATTTGTAACAGTACTTTAGTTACTATATTTACACATCAAAGAGAAAATTAAGCTTTATTCCTAAGCTCTAACCCAATCTAGGTTAACACATTAACCTAAACTAGATTTTATTACTTCTTCTCATCGGAAGTTGGGTTAAAAATAATCAACAACTAAACAAGAGCTTTGTTTACAATAAGACACAAATTTAAAATTGGGATTAAATTCAAGATTATAAAATGAAGACATAAGATTGAAAAAACATGGTAAAGACCGGAAGTCTGAATGATCGAATAAAGAAGGGTGTGAAAATTTTTATATTTTCTTTCTTCCTAAATTTTACTGATTGAAATTTCAGAAAACTACAATTTACTAATTGACTAAAAGATGGTCAATTCATCATTGAATCTGAAAATTTTCTGAAAGACATATCATAAAAATTCACTGATTGAATCTGAAATCATTTCCGCTTAAAATAAAATCTGGAATTTAACTTTTAATTTTGTCTACCTAGCTGAGTAGTGAGTACGAAAGACGGCAATGGTAGTTTTCTCCAGCGGTCAGGTGCGGCCAAAGGATGCAGTCGACAGTCACGCTGCGCGCGGTAGCTGGTGGTGGGTCACAGGGGTGCTGCGAAGGCTGGTAGCTGGTGGACTAACCGCAGAAGAGGACTGGTTGCTGCCTCGTCGGTAGTGCTGACCTGCAAAAGAAGATGAGATTTTGCTGCTGTTTGAAGTTTGAGACTTAAAAAGTTCAAAATTTGGAGTGGCCAAACAAAACTTACAGAATTAAAGTTTGAGAGCAAATTGCAGATGCCGGCTAGGACATGCGGCATAGTAAATTCATACTACTATAAACGATGATTACAACTTTATAAATAACAATCAAATTCATACTAAACAAGGCTGTAATTTAGTCTTTAAATTGAATTAAAAATACAATAAAACTAAAACTTAAAATCATACAAGTCTGTAATTAAAATTTAAAAACTTAGTTAACTTAGTAACTAACCCGTTTACCACCGAAGAGCTAGCAGAATTAGAAAGCCAGAAGGGTTTCAGAAAGCCAGATTCCCAGATTCCTAGTTCAGCAGCTCCGGCGTAGGCACGTGGCGGCGTCCGTTCGACGGCCGACCAGCGAGGCAGCGCCTGACGATTGACGATGGGTTGGTGCGTGCTCTGTGCTAGACTAGATTGCTACGTTGGGATTTGGGGGCTTTGAGAGTTTGGGCCATTGTCTAATTGTGGGCTTGAACAATGGGAGAGGGCAGGGACTTGGGCGGAGTGCGGACGAACAAACGTACGGACTAATGGACCTGGATTGCTCTATGTAAACAATTTTATAACGGGTAATTCTATTGACAGCCCTGAAATTAATATGTGCAGCCACAAAATTAAATATTAATTCTTTTTCTAATGAAGAGGATTGTGAAGCTATCTCGGGGATTCCATTACAAGTACTTCGCGAGAAGGACGAATTGATTTGGGCGGCCGAAATTACTCAGTTTGTAGTTGATACCAGTTGCTTTTACTGCATGTCGAAAATAGGTAGGCATGGACCCGAGTATGGAAGCTGAATCTACCACCTATAATGAAAACTTTTTCTGGCAGGTGTGTACGGACTGTTTACCGTCTAAGGAGCGGTTGCTTCAGAGACGAGTACCGGTGTGGCCGGTTTGTAGCACGTGTGGTGTAGACAGGGAGAGTACGATGCATGCTTTTCGGGATTGTGTGCTAGCAAAAGAGGTGTGGCAGAGCCAAAATAAATCTTTTTTGCAGGTTGGGGCTACGACTTTCACAACATGGGCTGATGCAGTCAGCGGCACGTGTTCCAAGGAAGAGCCAGAACAATTTGTGTTGATTTGTTGGAGTTTATGGAAGTCTAGAAATGATAAATCATGGAAGAATATTAGCACTAATTGGAGGGGTGTAGTAGCCAGGGGAGAAATGATGCTTGCTGGGTGGAAGGAAGATCGGGTTCAGCAGAGTGACTGGAAAGCTAGCTCTGGGGGAGGTGATGGCACACAAGGCAAATAGCAGCCCCCGGGAGCGGGCATTGTAAAGATAAATGTCGACGCAGCGGTTCATTCGCATGGGGATTGGCGGACACTTGGATAGTAGCAAGGGATGATAAAGGCTCGTTCATAGCAGGTAGAAGTGTCCGGGAACGGGGACGTTTCTCGATCAGCACAACAGAGGCCTTAGCGATTCGTGAGGCAGTTTTATGGGCGGCACAAGCTGGGTGGGCTGAAGTGATTGTTGAGTCGGATGCACTCTCGGTTGTGCAAAGGATCGCAGATTCGGATGTCATCTCTTACGAAGATAATATTTTTGCTGAAAGTAGACATATGATAGCTAGAGTTGCTAATTTAAATGTCCACTATGTGCAGTGATCAGCGAATCGGGTTGCCCATGCGGGCTTTAGCACGGCAGACCGTTTTGGAGTCTGATTGCTTATGGGTTGGAACCCCACCGGATTGTATTGTCAACTTGATGCGATTTGATTATTAATGATATGTTATTTAGTTTTTAAAAAACTATCCATGTTATAACACCACAATCCTCGCTACACACTATAGTTAAATCGAGGCTCTGTTCTTTGCAAAGTTCTCAGACTTTGAAACGCCAAAACCTCTTCACCCAAATTCCACGATGTAAGTATGATGATGAATTCAATTTTACACATTCATTCGACTTGATCAATGAATTTCTCTCACACCCTGCATCAATAAAATAGACAGAATATACTTATTTCATAGCTTGTAGATCAAATATACTTCAAAATTGATACATCAACATGGACTTTTTATGGAATAGATTCGATTGGAGAAGAGTGAAAAACATAAATAAATCTAATCGTCATGAGAAAGAATAGAGTTCCATCTGAAGTATTAACTGGGATAAGAACATATATGTAGTATTAAACCGTCAATTAATGACAAGTAGTTCATTGCTTGGGAATTTGAAAATAACTAAGGAAATTAAATTAAAAATATAAAATAACTAAACACACAACAAACGTAGAAATCAACTTAAATAATACGAGTAATCCTTAACATGGAAATAAGACTTGTCTGCAGGTGTTAAAAACAAAAATTATAAAGACAAGTAATAATGACAAGTACTATGAACTCTTTCGTCGCTCTCAACTAGTCGGTGTGAAGTTTCAATTTGGTAGTTGGAGGAAGAAATGGGATTTTGCTTCTCCGGTCGGTTGTTTCTCATTCTGGAAACTTCATAGATGAGAGTTGTGCGTGTAGATGTGCGTGGATATGAGTGTACTTGGATGTGCGTGGATTATGAGTGTAGCTAAACTAAGACGTCGTTAAATGTTAATAAGGGCGGATTAGGGATTTAAATTTAATACGAAAATGTGTGTTTGTAACTAGCAAAAAGGTGGCTGCATATAGAATCTCCCTTTTATAACTTGAGGGTAGGCATGTAAAAAAAAAACCGCCCTGGCCCGAGACATTTGGGGTGGATCCGCCCCGTCTTGAAAATGGGGCGGGTCCACCCCGCCCCGCCCATACAATGGGGCGGGTCCGGGTATTAGTATTGACTCGTACCACCCCAACCCGCCCCGCTCAATATACAAGTATACAAACTTTTTTTTAAAATTATACGAGAAATATACTTCTACATACATTTTTTTAAAGAGATGAATGATGACTTATTAATATTTTTTATATATATAGCATTTTAATTTATATATGGTATTATTAATATAAATAGATAATCATTTAAGTCTAAGTACTTTTTTCTTAATTTTTGAAAAAATTATCGTATTTTGACTTTGATTTAATACGTAGTATATTATCTTTTTAATATTTATTTAAAGTTAAATTTTGTGTTGGATTCAATTGGTAACAACTTCACACAAGTAGAAATGATAGTAGCTAATTATGTTACGGCGGGGCGGGGCATGGGTCAACAATTTTGGACCCGTGCGGGTAACGGGGCAGGGCGGGTCGACCCAATGAAGTCACGGGGCGGGTCCGGGTCTTGCAGTACCCGCCCCGCCCCGACCCATTGCCATGTCTACTTGAGGGTGGGCCTGATTTTTATACATATCTACTAGTTAAAAAAAATAATAAAAATTTGAAGATGATCCTGGGCCCTTCCTTGCCCTAGGCCCAATCAGCCCCTAAGTCTATGCTGTTGACGGGGATGGATGGCGATAGACCTACGACGAATCGGCGATGTGTCGACCAGCTAGATCGAAGGGTGTGTCCCATCCTGATTAACGGGTTCCTTTTTTACAACCAATTGGGCCTTTGGACGGGGCTAATGAGCATGTATTAAACTATTGGGTAATAATGTTCACAACTCCAGTTTTACTATTCATAGCCACCAATTAATTATTAATTAAATTAATAAATACTCCCTCCGTTCTTTATTATTTGTCCTCTAGCCTTGGGCACAATATTTAAGAGAAAAATAGTAGGGTAAGTATAGAGTGTGTAGGGTAAATGATAAAGTAGGAAAAAAGGTATATTAAAAAGAGTAAAGTGATGATAAAGTAGGAAAGATAATATATTAAATAGAGTAAAGTGATGATAAAGTGATGATTATTAATGATATGTTATTTGGTTTTCAAAAAAAAAAAAAACTATCCATGTTATAACACCACAATCCTCGCTACACACTATAGTTAAATCCAGGCTCTATTCTTCGCGAAGTTCTCAGACTTTAAAACGCCAAAACCTCTTCACCCAAATTCCACGATGTAAGTATGATGATGAATTCAATTTTACACATTCATTCGACATGATCAATGAATTTCTCTCGCACCCTGCATCAATAAAATAGACAGAATATACTTATTTCATAGCTTGCAGATCAAATATACTTCAAAATTGATACATCAACATGGACTTTTTATGGGATAGATTCGATTGGAGAAGAGGGAAAAACGTAAATAAATCTAATCGTCATGAGAAAGAATAGAGTTCCATCTGAAGTATTACCTGGGATAAGAACATATATGTAGTATTAAACCGTCAATTAATGACAAGTAGTTCATTGCCTGGGAATTTGAAAATAACTAAGGAAATTAAATTAAAAATATAAAATAACTAAACACACAACAAACGTAGAAGGGAAGCTCTGACCTCTGCAAGAGAGATGCTACCTCAGACAGCGCCAACTAGTGGATTCCACCGGCGACCGTCACGGTGTTGCAGAGACCATGACCGAGGTGGGGGCGTTGTGACGGAGGCAGCGAATCTCGAACTTGGGGTCATTCGTGAGTGCCAAAAAGTCTCCGGCAGCTACTAATGGTGGACCACGATAGATTTGAGATGAATTAGAACCTTCTTTGACGTGAGGAGGATCGCTATAGCAGCAACATAGGATTTGGGACTGAAGAAGAAAGAAAAAGATGCGAGAACGGGTTGTGCAGGAAGAAAGAAAAAATAGGAAAAAGTATTATCCTACACATGGACCGGCCATGTAGGAATAGTAACCTGCTGACCGGTTTGTAGTAGGTTAAAGTACTTAATTGACCATTTTTTAAGTTCGTGGGTCTAATTGAGTGTTTTTTTTAGTTCAGGGGCTTAATTGACTTTTTTATATACTACGAGGGCCTATTTGACAGTTTTCCCTAAATGTAAATTTGAACATACATTACAACGACTAAAATTAGTACTAAAATTAGTACGTTACACTTAAGTGATCACATTTAATTCATAAATCATCTTTCATTTATTCATAAATTTGTAATTATTTTACATAAAAATCATATGTATACAATACTAGTATGCTAATATTAAGTACTTTGTATTTTTGTCTAGGGCGCCCATAATCCCGTCTTGAGTAAAACATACTCATTTTCCCTACATATGAGTACAACCAAAAGCTTCTCTGAATATATAAGATCAAATATTACGTAGTAGTTTTGTACCCTTACTATCCTTTATCAAATTAATTAATAGTCCGGTACAACTAATTAATTGCCACCTAGTCCGGTACAACTAATTAATTGCCACCTAGATCCCACTTGTTTTTCAGAGGCAAATAAACAGTTAAAATGGCGTGAGGCGATGGCGGAGGAATTCAATGCTCTTACTTCTAATAATACTTGGGAGTTAGTTCTGTTTGACAAATCTAAAAATGTTGTGGGCTCTAAGTGGATTTATAAGAATAAGTACAATTCGGACGAGTCTATTGAGCGCCATAAAACTTGTTTAGTTGCTCAGGGGTTTAATCAGCAGTCCGGTGTAGATTTTTCCGAGACTTTCAGTCTA